ACGTTGAATCAACGTTGAGATTTACGTTGATGCAAACTTTCATATACAACAAAAATTAAACGTAGATTCAATGTTTGCATATTACGTTGAATCAACGTTATTTCAACCAAGTTGTGCCCACTGGGCTGACTCTACCGTTCATGAAGCTGTTCCAGATAGTGTTTCTGTTAAACTGGAGCCTCAGAATTCTGATGATGTTGAATGTGTTACAAAGGGAGTACAAATTGAATCACCCACCGAAACACCGAAAGTCAATAAGCGAAAACGACCACGACCAGACTATATGCGGCATATCAAATCTCCATTTTCTTACGTCGAGATGATTACCTTTGCCATCGTGTCGAATCCCAATACCATGATGACGCTACAGAACATTACAAATTTCATGCCGAAAGCTTTTTGTTGCCTTCGTGGGGGTTACGAAGGATGGAAGAACAGTGTGCGTCATACTTTGAGTATCAACGATTGTTTCAAAAAAGTTCTGCGTCGTCCAGATAGGCCTTCAGGAAAAGACAACTTTTGGATTATGAATGTAGATTGTAAACATTGTAAGTCGTCAGGAATGGAGAACGATTGGAAGTACTTAAAATTACGTTATCAACAATATGTACAGGAATTTATGGTTGATTCATCAGGCGTGCAACTTAAATCTCCACCCAATGTAAGATTTGACAACAATCAAAAGACAAAATCACCTCAAGCTGCAGTGAGTCCCGTGAGGTTTGTTTATCATCAAGTTGAATACCCACGTCATATGCTAATGCCTTATGAGAACTCTGTGCATGCGGTGAACCAATCAAAAATTCAGTCAGTCTCGTATCCAATGGATCTTTCTACTAAATCACATGACAGTCGAAAACGACAATCTTTGGATGATGAACCACTTGATCTAAGCGTGAAAAGACAGAAAACTTCACCATCGACTTCTGCAACAACTGGACAATATGAGTTTATTCAGAGAAGTTCGCTAAACGGATCTTGTTCGCCTGACAGTTGCAGTCCACAATTGGTATCACACAACAAATATAGAACTTCAATTCCAGAACAATTTAGCAGCAAGCTTCATTGCCCTCTCAATGCTAACAGAACCAGGTTCCTGAAAAACATGACTGGACGTATGCATGTATATGATCAAGATAGACGAATAAGAATGGTGCAAAATTTCGGTGAGTTCAACTTTGATTAAATTAAAATTAACGTAATGATTGATAAGCTCGTATAAAACAAAATTCAGTTATATAATTTTTTAGTCATCAATGTGACGAATGATATTGTATCATGAATTTGTTTTGGTATATTTTTTAATGTTCATAATGTTTTCATATGGTTTAATTTCACGTTCACCCATATTTTTTCTTTCGAATTTTTGTTCACAATCATTAAAATAGAATGTTTATTATGTTTATTTTTCTAGCTGGCGCAAGAAGACCAATTTACATACTGAGCAATATAAGTGGTCAAGTACATTCAGCGGAAGGATACTAACTCACATAGTACAGTGTATAGACCTAGCCTAAAAATAATTGCCGATTGTTGACAGTCGATACTATCTTTTAGGCGTATATAATTATTCATTCTATAGATTATTTGATAAACAAATCTTTAATCGAATTGTGAACAATATATATGTAAAAGTACTAGAGTCGAGTGGTGCAACGATATAAACGCAGTACATTCACAAAATGCTATCAGCTATTATTGCCATATACTGTATTAATAAAATTATTTAGTTTTTATTATTAGTAATATAAATATACTCCTACAAATATACGCTACTGTTGAGTGATTCTGAAAGTGGACATTGATGTACAGGTAATGTAAAAATATATAAAAATGCATGTGTATGTGTTACAAATATAAGTTCAATAAAAGTATGTAAGAATACTTGTGAGTTTAGTTATATTTTTGTATGGTAACTCGCATCACGTCATAAAAGTCATGTTAATAGTACAGTATTATGGTTGTTGATGATGATAACAATAATAATAATGATAAAGACAACGGTAATGACACTTATTCTACACTAAAACTACACCGACGTACCAGTATATGCAAATAGCTTAAACTTCTTAAACAGCATCTCTCGAAGTTGATTTCACATAAAATATACTGGCTTAGCAAATTATTTTGCTTCTGTTCAAGGGGTGAAGATAAATAATATGGTGATTTAAATAGACCTATGTCGTTAAATTAATTTATTAAAAATGTTAGTACAAACATTCCTGTGTGTATAAAATAACAAGCATAATCAAAATTAAAACATACAATTTTAACTGTCTTTTGTAACCACTGATATTTATTTACGAGTGACAAATACTTATTTAGTTCATAGTCGAATTATATTCAATAATAAATACCGGTTTGACATAAAAATTCAACCCAATAATTAGGCCTAAAAGATCAAACTTAGATGAAAGAATCTAGATAATGGCTACACTATTAATCAGTATCGACGGATGAAGATATAGAAGGTAGACCTGTGCCCCCGCCATTTCAAATTCCTGGATCGCGCCTGCTAAATTCGTTGACATTTTACCCATCCGATGCGATGCTCTCGAGTTTTACCGGATAATGTATTTAAATCGCTGATGAATATGGTTCCATCATCCTTTAATATGAGCGTGAATGTATGAAACCTTTATTATTAGGCCTATGACTATTTCGAAATAAATGTAGCGCAATATTCTGAATGATGAAGCACTATTCAATGGATATACTCCTACAAACTATGTTACTGTCGAATGATTCTGAAAGTTGACATCGATAAACAGGTAATTTAAAATTAACATATTTATGCATTATACAAATATGAATTAGTTCAATAAAAGTACGTACGATTATCTGTAAGTTCAGATATATTTGTGTATGTTGCATAACTCGCATCACAGAAAACCATGTTAATAGCATTATAATGGATGATGAAGATAATGTTGATGTTGATTATAATAATGACAATGATAATGATAACGGTGATGATGATACTTTACACTGACGTATCAAATAGGCCCCTATGTAAATATGCTTATAACCTATCTACAGCAGCATCTCTCGAAGTTAATGTAATACAAAATATGCTTTCAGTCTGGCTCAGTCAAATGGTCGGGTGGAGATAAATAACATAACGGTGCTATTAAATTATAGTACAAGTTCAATGCTGTTCAATGCATATAGTAACAAACTTAATCCAAATTTAAACAAATCATACCTTTCCTTATGTCTTTTGTAAAGTTCTTTTAGTAATTAAATTATTGTAATTAATTAAAGTAAAATTAAATCTCATCACACAATAGAAAAAAAAATAAATTTAATATTTATTTAAGAGTTAACAATAGACATACTTAGTTCTTTCTCAATAGCAGTTAGACATATAAATTCAATCCAATAAATAGGCATAACATGTCAAACTTAAATGAAAGAGTATAGATAATGATAGGCCTATAGATAAAATCATAGTACAGTACAATATTGATAAAGCTATACACCAATAATATAATTCAAGGTGTGTGTCAGTGTTAAACTTGTGATGACGTCAATTCCACACTGTGTTGGTACTAATTTGAGTCAAATGGTTGAGCATTTCAAAATGAATTAGAGCACGCGTATATTGAATGTTAGTAAAACATACTATCTTAAACATACTTGATAAAAACATTCGATCATTCTCGTGAAGAAATGTACAAATTTCATTGACAATATAATTTCATTATACCTCTTTGCTGTAAGATTTATAAGTGAACACTCGTATTCAAACACTCGCATTGTAAAAGTGCAAGTTTAGTAAGTGGCGCCTGTCCGGTAAGCATTCTATAAACCCGAAGATTTACAGATATTATCAATTTCATTCAAGATGAATATTCAGGGCTAATAAAATAAAAATTGTCTGAAAATCCAAAAATTGACAAGAAATCCATCAGTTATAGGCCTAAGCATTAAGAGAGAGAAACCAGATCCATTGTAATAATTTCAAACTCGCTTTTTTTTTTTCGCCGAGCTTTTTTTTTTTTTTGTTTCTTTTTCCCTTAAGCTCTTGGCCTGCTAACCACAAGAACTGTTGCGTCTTTAACTATTCTGAACCAATTTCTTCTTCCTTCCTCAAAATGTTTATGTTTATGACAAAGTGGAATAATAAAGTTAAAAGGCAGTTGTGTAAAACCTTGGACAAGAACAGGGGCTCCGTCCGTGGCATCGTCATTGCAATGAAACTTAGAACACGTTGTAAATGATTTTCCTGTTTCATTCTCCCATTCTTGACGCCAAGAATTGTTTAGTCGATGCCGAGCCGAGTGATGCCGATCCGATACGTTCTTAACATAAGGCTCGTCCACTCCTAACCGAGCGAGGTTTATCACCATGTTGTGTTCAAGTGTAGGCCATTCCATCATTCCTATTGACGTCGCAAAGAACCCAAACGAAGTGTCTGTATATTAATGATGCGTTTTCCAACTGTGTTACCATCTCATTGGTCATGCAAAACGTATAATGATTCAGCGTTATTGATTTGCAATTTAAAAAAAAAAAAGTGGTTTCGAGCTCGGTGGGCATTTATTGCGAAACTAAATAGCATAATGCATTGCTGATTATAACAAAACGATGTAGGTCGACCTATGTTTAGATTGAAATAGAAACGCTAAAATTGTAAAATTCCTAAAAAAAAAAAAAAAAAAAAAAAAAAAAAAAAAATTCATGACCACTAAACGAGGATTGGCCTAATTACTGAGCTGTATTGAGCTAACAGTCACAGACTATTGACATCATAAGACAAAGTGAAAACAATATTTACAAAGGAGGTTTATTTATTACAACAATTTGATATCCAATTATTGTGATAAAATCAATTGGATTACTTGCTAATGTTAACTGATTTTCTATCAACATAATTATACTTTTTTAATTATAAGCTTTAGTGCACAAACGATTGGTATACAGTAATCAGTTTTTCTGAAGTATAAAAACTATTTGTATTTGGTACGACAATCCAATGTACTATGTGGGGGAAAATGTTACCTCCAAGCTGACTGTACAGATATTAAAGCTCAATAAAACTCAATATTTTTTCGGCAAAAATTAGTTGGTTCTCTTGTTATAAAACATAATATGCATGACCATTCAAATATGGGGTATGCAAGCACTGTATACAGTATCTAAAAGTTTTGCGGGAGGCGCATGCCTAACCAAAAACAAAATTGCGCCCTTGCGCCCCCTCACTTAATCATTGATCCCGTTGTAGAGCCCACAAATGTAAAAATTCACCACAAAAGTAAAAGTTTAAAAATCTGTTTATACCACAAATGTAAAAACATTTTCCATTTTTACTTCAAGTGTCATTACATGTCAACCGCAAATGTAAAAATTCATTCTAAGATACTGTAAGTTATCAGATGTATGGGTATGTGTCTGTGCATGAGGTTTTCCTAAGCATTAAAATCTTACATTGAAAGACCCTAACTGACTGCTTATAGTAGAGCAACTAAGGGACCTAGCTGTGCATTATATTTACCAAAGCATGAAGCTACGCACAAAATATCTGATGTGTAGATTAAAACAAAAATTGTGTGTCAAGTTTCTGACGCCTACTATGGCCGCTTCTTTGAATTAAAAATGGCCACCTACTTTTAGAATAAATTCATTTAAAGTATTTTGGCAACGGAAAGCTGTAGACTTACTTTTGGTCTCAAATTGTTCGGAATATACATGTTTAAATTTTGCAAAATTTTGTCCAAAAAATGTAATGCACGAAATGCGTTTGTGCGTAAAAAACAAAAATACGAAAAAATGACACAACAAAATGATAATGCAGAACCTCTGAGGGCTAACCGTCACCCCTAGCCTAATCTTGGAAACTACCCAGATCAGTGTTACAAAACCTGTGATCCATCGGTACACTGAAAATTAATGGCGGTCAGTCAAGCGCTAAGGGTCCGTGGGTGGTCCGCCAAATGTCCAGTGGTCCCGCCGCCATATGGCCTATGAAAAATACACGAAAAACAACATACTATTTGAATTTGACATTGCTTTCGACGTGCCACACGTATTATTGAAAAATTGGCAGAGGCGTACGGATGGGCAGTCCAGTCGGGTGCAAAGTTAAGTTGACATTTAAGTTGGTAGACCCAATCTTGATGGTATGGTAAACAACTACATTTACCTTGAAATGAATTATTAACCCGGAAAAAAATATAAGAGAATTTGCAGAACACTATAATTATATAGTTTTATTACAATGAAAATATTGATTGATCGTGGCTTTTTAACGTCTAGGTCTGAATATTACTAAACGAAAAATATGCAGCTGTTTGTTTCCCAGTATATTACAGTAGGCACTTATGACGATGAAATTGTTTTTTTTTTATAGTGCTTTTAAATATTTAAGCAAAATCCTACGATGACTGGAAGGTTCTCAATAATTATTTACAATTCAATGAGTATGTTGCTTCAGTCTGAAACGATCAATATTGAATGAGGTGTAGTGAATTGATTGTGTTCATTTTCCTATGTCAGGCATATATGCAGATATTGTTACATCGTTATAGTAGTCAGCATGATCTTTAATTAAATAAGAAGGATACAGTGTACAGTTAATGATTCATAAAGATTCCAGGTCTGTTAATGGTCGCCATATTAAATATTTTTCATAATTAATTTAAATATTTATAATATGCTAGAACATATTATAAATTAGAGCACAGCCTATGTATCTGATATATGGAGATATGTATAATTATGCTCATTATCTATGGTCAAAGGTCAGATATATCATTTGCGATCACTTTCGGACAAAATGCTGCATAGATATAGATACAGTACATGTATTTTCAGAACAATTTGACACCAATATTGCCTCTATGAAGCAACTAGGCTCTTCGCTGCTCTACTATAAGCAGTTCATTAGGGTCTTTCAACAATTTAAAAGATTTTAATGCTTAGGAAAACCTCACGCACACACATACACCGTACCCATACATCTGATAACTTATCTTAGAAAGAATTTTTACATTTGTAGGTGAAATGTTTTTACATTTGTGGTTAAACAGCTTTTTACACTGTTGGGCGAGTTTTGACATTTGTGGTTGACATGTTATGACATCATTATTACCAACCGCCTTGCATCATGCGGGACGGTCCCGCATTTCTAAGTGATTTTGGATGAAACACGCATTTTGCAGAAACACATTAAGCACAAGTCTATGCGTGATAACAAATTCAGGGGAAACTGTATTTAAAATTAGAAGAAATTGGTTTTATTAAATATACAAAGAAGGTCATGCAGTAGCTTTGGAGAGAGGTTTCGTTATCTCGTTCGAAAATCATTCAGCAGGAAAAATCCCTGCCAACCAAGCACTTAATAGAACCTAGTCGAGTGCGGTCTTTTGTGTTTCATTGTCACAACAAACCGTTGATGTGACTGAAACCAGCCGACACCTGATGCCCCCACCCCCACTTAACTGGTGTAGTCACACATTTAAAATCTCTCAGGTTGGTAACTATGTGATATTTGCGGTTATTTTGACATTTGTGGGTACAATGTTTTGACATTTGTGTTTACTTTTACATTTGTGGTAAATTTTTACATTTATGGGCTCTACACCACCTCACCTAATCATCAAGCCCCTGCCCCCACCATCAAGAATCCTAGATACGCCATTGCGAGTACAGTATATATTAATCAAAACGAATTCTATTGAATTCTATTAAATCCTTTGTACTGTTTTATTGGACACAATGCGCCCTTTATCTTTCAGTTGCCTTGAGTAAGCCAATGGGTTTGCCTTCCTTTGTAGTAATCTACAGTTTCAAGTTGTTTCAGGAATGTTCACAGCCAGAATCACTACCCTCTCACTTACTTGATTCTGCGATTTCACGCTTCGTTGCTGAAAAATACATAAATACAGCATTTTAATTTGAGACTTTGTTCTGATTTTGTGGGAACATGTCATATATGATTATACTTGTAGTTGGCAAGTAAATTATCAATAGAGATAATAATTTTTGAATTGATTCCAAACAAACCTTTCTTTTCCTCATCTCTTGCTTTCATTCGACTGATAAACGAATGGCTTTTATTCTTTCGGAAACTTTCAAAGGGATCGTTGATAGAATTTCCCACGCCTTTGTACATGTCCATTTTCTCTCGAACCTCTCCACCAGAAATGGGATCGACAATTCCTTGCTCTCTAGCACCAAGACCTTGACCTCCCCAACCTAACAATTAAAAATGTGTTAAAAAAAGTTATAAAGCTATACACAAGGTATTTAATAACCATCCATCTTGCATCATCTGGATTAGTTAGGTAAACTTTCTTCCATTCCCCCTTTGACTGATAAATAAATTAGGCAATAATGGTTGAACACAATTCAAATAAGCGAAGGGGTGAGATTGCCTGAAAAACTCACCCATTTTCTTAAGTAGCTGATGTCCTTTATTTTCTTGTCCTAACATTGAATCAGCACTGGTTGCTTGGTAGAAAGAGCTGCAAAGAAATGTGAGCACAAAATGTTTAAACATTGTATAACAAGCATCAATCTGACAGTGCACGCTAGCATAATAAGAGGACAAATGACTCATAACAACACTCACAATCCAGCATCTGGGGATGGCGATCTCGACCTTCTCCTCCTCGGCGGTGTTCTTGACCTTGACCTTGCTACACGTTGATGTGGAGGCGATGCCGAATGCGATCGTCTTCTGTACGCAGGTGAACGTGAGCGTGCTTTTCTCCTGTGAGGTGGAGGCGGAGATCTGGAGACTGAACGCTTTTGATAAGGAGGCGAGACAGAGGCTCTCTGGTATGGTGGTGATGCAGAGCGTCTTTTGTAAGGCGGTGAGACAGAACGCCGCTGATACGGGGGTGACGGTGAATGTGAGGGTAGTCTTCGTCTGGGAGGTGTCTGTGACCTTGACCTGAATAAAAACATGTAAAATTACATTCAATATCATTAAATACAGTAATATGATTTTTTTCATATGTAGAAGTAATAGCGTGACTGTACAGCACCATGTTTCAAAATTTAAGTTGATTTACCGTCTCCTTGGTGATGGCGATTTGGATTTATATCTCTTTGTTTTCACTTCCTGTTCCTCAGTTTCTTTTCTTATCTTTGAATGTTTCTGCTTTGCTTTGAAGAACTCAAAAAGACCATTTGCTTCCCAACCATCACTTTAGAGTCGAAGAAAAAAATTCAATCAATTACAGAAAAATAAATAGATGTTATCATTAATATACAGCACCAATTATGGACTATGTTATTTTAACAAGTTATACATTATTAAATGACAACCGAACAATAATTAATTTACATTCAAATATTGTTCACTTACATGTTCCTAGGGCATTCCCTTGATGGAGGTGCATAGAACATTTCAACAGCTGCCAGAAGCCTCTCTGATGGTGGTTGAGGAGGGGGAAGTCTTATCTGATCTGGGTCCAATGGCTCATAGTTCGTATCTTCAAGCTAGAGAAGGGGGGGGGAGAGGGGGGGGGGGGGGGGTTAAATATTTCACAATTAATGAAAACTTATAGCTTAGAATTAACAGGAAATATGATTACATATTTGAAAATGAAAGCTGATGATAATGATAATAGCAATAGGTATCACAATACATACTAGTATTCATAAATATAAAAAAATGATAGTAAATTGATATGTTCCTAAGGCTATTAATTTATTCTCATATAATAAATGCAGTCAATCAATGTGTACTGACCCTGACAAGAGGTGCCATCAGGCCGGCAGGCAGATCATAATATGGGGCAGTCGGCATCAAGCTTGCATCACTATGTGGTAAGTTGGGCTGCGGAGCTACAGACGGGTAAGGAGCCTGCCCAGACATCTCAGCACCAAAGCCTGGTGGCGGAAGGCTGAAGTTAGGAGGCGGTACGTGAGGGTTAAATGGAGGTGGAGGATGACTAGGGGGTGGAGCTGGCATTCCTGAAATAAAGCGTTCAGATCATTATAATATAACAATTTTCAACAATAGTAGACATTTAATTATGTTTAAGATTAACTGAATCAAACAATATATACTATAACATTATGTTATAATCATATCAATATATAACCAATCAATTAGTCAATACATAGATTATATTATTCTATGGTACAAACTGAAATAAACTGAATAAACATTTGAATGGTTGAATTTAAAAGATAATAATACAGAAAGCTCTGCTAAATGAAAAATCTCAGAAAAAAAATACTTATTCATTGATTGTAACTAAAGTAGATTTTATAGCAACATAATTTATAATGAAAAACTGCACCTCAATAAAAACTAAAATTACACACAGTTATTAAATATCATACATTAATTTTAATTTTAAATTCCTACCTTGATTGGGTTGGAATTGTTGAGGAGGTGCAACATGAAATCCAGGTGGTGGTATTGAAGGATCATAGGACGGCATGCCAGGACCAGGATGACCACCTGTTTATTATCAAATCCACGAATAAATTATTTAGATTTAGAAACAAATATATAATATATTTGCTAGTGACAAGGATGTGCTGGAATACATGAAGAACACCAGAAGGTGATTTGGTGATGAAGATGATGATGCTGGTGATGATTAAATGATGATATAGATAATGATAGTAGTTAGAACAATAATAATGCAATTAATGATGATGATGATCACAATAATAGTAATAATGATAGTAGTAATATTAACAATAATAAATATATGATGATGGCGGCCATATGATGACGATAATAATGACAATGATGAGTGACGGACAATGATTATAACACAGATGACGGTGGTAGATATGATGATGATGATGCTAATACTTAAATATTGTAAAAATACCTGCTTGACTATCTTGAGGTTGCTGTTGACCTTGTGAGGTCACGGTGTTTGACGATCCTGTAACGTTACTCACCATTGTTGTAGGTAGATTGATACCTATAGCTAATAAACAAACATATGAGTAATTACAATTGTAGACTTAGTTAAAGAACACTATGTTTATTTTTATCTTTCGAAAAGGACTTCAGGATCCATAACCGCAGGGTAAAAAAAAACCCACCAAGCTAGCACTCAAACCGAAGTATGTGGTTACACCGTTACCACTAACCGGAGATCTGTGTTTAGGTATTCCTGTTAGCATCGGTTCAGTCTTGATCTTTTCTGGGATCGGGTGCCTCTCTAGAGCCTGGTTTCGTTAAAATCTCTACACTATCGATAGAGTATTTTCAGTGCAATTGTTGTACTGCATAGCTGTCACCGACGCAATCAGGAAGGCTCCCCGATTCGACCGACCAATCAGCATCACCGAAAGCAATCAGCGATAGCATGTAGCGATTCTTTGGAAAATAAACTTAAGGTGTGAACACGTTACCTTGTGCAATCTGCATTTGTTCAGCCTGCATCTTTTGCTGCTGTTGCTGTTTGTTGATTTCTAGTTGTTGCTTAAGGTGATTGACAAAGGTCATGTGCTGTTTCTGCAGCTGTTGTATCCTGGTTTCCATCGTCTGTTGCAACTGTTGAATACCCTGTTGGTTCTCCTGCATCACATTTGCCTGATGGTTAAAATAACATCACAAATACAGAAACTGACAATAACATGTCTTTGTTTAATTTTTTTACCTATCTTTCTATGTATGACATATTGTAAATTGAATCCCAAATTCAGCCACGGGCTACTATGGATATCATTGTCTTATACATTTTGTTTTTATGTTTCTATATTATTTAATTTAATTTATTTCCAGGCAAAGTCAGTACAAAATATAATACAATTCAGAAGACAAGAACAAAAGCCTGAGGATTACCTAAAAGTGAACTTAATCACTATATAAAAGGTTTTCTATTAACATTAAAGAAACAAACAATTCATTAAAATGTAAATGAACACAATTTAAATGTACAATGATAAAAAATTTAATTCAAGATAATAAATTACAAAATTTACAATTTCATTTATAAAACTCATGATGAGTCAATATCTATAACAATGCTTTAGAACTAAATCAAATGAAAACAGGAATGATAATTATAGATACACCACAAAAGAAACACACAAAATATAGGAAAAAAAAAAAAAACCTGGAAAAACATGAGTTGCCTGCTATTTCAGAATCAATTTTAACTAATGAAGTTTATCTAGTTAACAGCTAGGAGAAAATGGGTAGGGGGAAATGTGTCCCTGTGTTTTAGGGATCTACTACTACCGGAACATACCTGAAAATTATTCATGGAGACAATTGGGTTTTTAAGTTGCTCAATTGTGTCACTGTCAAAATAGTTATTGGTCTCCCATAGCTTAAGAACCTGAAATGGAAGAATAATAAAAAATGTACTTATAATAAATAAATAAATAAAATAAAAATATTCTGTACATATACATTAAACACATGCCAATAAATCAATAAACTATATACTGTACTGTATTTGTTTGAATAAATTCCCTGTCTTTGAATAAATGCCCTCTTTAGAGCCTCAGTTGGAATAAACGCTTCCCTTGAATAAGCGCCCCAGGGCAATTATTTTTTCTCAAATAAATGCCACCCTAAATAACTAATGAAAGTAACATCATTCTCAACATATTCTATTAATGTTCTACCCCAGTAGAACTACACTTTTTCAAACCCAGTTGTGATCAATACGTCATTATGATCGTACAGTAACACACTTGACAGTAATTACTGTATGTGTTTTAGTTTCACATTTACAGGAAAATTAGGGGCATTTATTTAGGCATATATGTATTCATTTACACCAGCAAAACATAATGCCTCACTCGAATATATGCCCCCTCAAACATCCTTCTACATAATAAACGCCCCAGGATGTTTATCTGAATAAATACGGTATTTGTCCTGGTGTTTTTAATTTTGGGAGATTCCACACTTTACTACATGGAGTCACATCTCCAAGTCTTTAATTATGTTACCACTTATACCTGTGCGGAAAGACCGAATCTCCAACATTAATCATTTAATGAAAAATGAGAAAACTGAAATAATTGTAAATTTTAACCTTCCTCTTCAAATAGACTTTCTATAGACTTTCCCTGTAAGTCTGCCCTAAACTTAGACTCTCCCTTTAACTTAGACTTCCCTCAAAGTGAATAAGTTAATAAGTCCTTACTTTTTCAACCCTGTCTCTTTTGTCCTCATCCATCTGATCAATGCAGAGTAAAGCACTGCAGAATATTGGTACGACAACACCTTGGATTGCTCTCTGCAGGTCTGAAGCTCCTCGTCTTGTGCTATAATACCATAAATATCTCATTAGCTTCCGATGAATCTTTTAAATGCCAAAGTTGAAGAAGGCTGGATCCAATTTGACAGTTCATTAAATATTTAATTATATTCGTTTGAAATATTTATAATATTGTATGCAAATAGAATTAACAACTTAATAGTACTGTATGCGACACGTTAATGCTTATTAAATTTTTGTTTGTTAAATCCCAAAGCTATTTACATTGTGTGTTTTAATAAGCATGGCATATCATTTGGGTTTTATTGCATACTGTGTGTAAAACTGGGTACTTGGTAGGATATAAATATGTTGTAATGCTGAATATATAGTTAAATGCTAAGTGTAGCTTAACACTTTTAGACAGCCAATAGTATGATGGAAAGTTAATTTTTATTCCCTATACGATGAATTATTAAACTGTGTGCCAACCATTAAATATTGTAGCTGAGAGCTGTTTTACATTAAATTTACTTTATTATTAATAAAGAAGTACAAGATTATCTTCTTATCATATTCAGAAAGGATGACCTTCTAGAAAACTACAGGTCAGCTGTTACTCAGGGCCCTTCTTGTAAACAGCCAAGAGTAAATGGAATGCTTATATTAAATATATGGAAGGTTGAATAATTTAATAGGTAAGACAACCAATAAAAATACAGTAGATGAGAGCATAGCTCCATGCTGGGAGTTGCGTTACATTTATCTGTGGTACAGCATGAACTTTTACCCATATTTAGAAAAGGTGACCTTCTAGCTAAGGACATTTCAATTGATTCAGGGCTTTAATATATAGTGGGAGTGGTTGGCGTAGTTGGGTTTGGTCTTTCAACCTCGAGGTCGGGTGGTTTGAACCTTGGCTGTGAATTTTGCTGTGTTCTTGGACATGACACTTCACCTATGTCTGTCTCTCTCAAACCAGGAGTATGAATGGGTCCCCGGTTCACTACCAGAGAGGAAAAAAGGCGGCATGGAAAGGAACTGACCACCCTACCACACAATACTGGGGCTTAGTATGATGGGCTAACAGCTCATTCCCCTAGGTTTCGTAATGAATACAGGACTACCTTTACCTCTTATTATATAACATTTAGTACTCTATATAAGCTAAATCTCATTAATACAAAGCTTAAACAGTGATATTGTCTGTAGTCATCTCAAAAGGATTTGAACCCACTACCCTGAGTGTTGAAAGGCAGGCATCTTCACCACCATGCTACAGCTTAACTACTTACCAGTGATGGATGACATCATTAATGAGATATATCAGATGCAACTTGGCTTGGAATGGAACATTCTTAGGGACAATCCGATGCAGTAAAAACAAGCCAATGAATTCACAATGCTTTTCACTTTTCGCTGTAGAAAATATAAGCTGCTTGCCAACCTAAAAAAAAAATAGAAAACCAAATTAAGGAAAGAATTTTTTTATAGCTTGTTTAGCGAACCCACCGACTGCAAATATTGATGATTTTGAATAAAAATAAATGTTATTTTTGGCCAATTGGCGCACCAGCAGCCACGAAAAAGTGGAAATTTCAGAAAAAAATAAAAGTTTTTCTTTATTTTTATTATGCCCTCCGCTGCCTTGAAATCTCCAAAGACAAGATATGTATATTTCTTCCTAATTATATAAATTTGAAGCATTTAACTATCTTGTTTTACATTCACCAATAAAATGTTATTTTTATTTTTTCCTCTGTCTGGATGTTTTTGGAAAAACTATTTACCTAAATAAGAAAACAAAATTTTATTTTTATTTTTATTCGGCCATCCTTCGATGATCTTTAAAAACATAAGTGCGCTAAACAAGGAATAAAAAAGTTTCACCTAATGGTAAAAATCATCACAAACTCTTAAGTAGAAACTGAATGCAAAATAAAAGCAAAGGGTATAATAAACCAGCATCAGTCATCAAAACAAGAAAATTACTTTTTAATTTATTTATATTCTCCAGAGCTTTAAAATTATAGGTCATTTAATGGCATCCACTTACTATTGCCAAAGTTATGAGTAAAAGTATTACAGCTTCTCTGTACTAAAGTATACAATACTGCAACTTTCGTATGCTAATTATTACTCAGTTTAACAACTAGCGACAGTATGCTAGTTTTTGGAATGGCAAGCCTTGTATAATCTACGGGATGAATTAATGAGATAATTTTTATTTGATATTGCATGACAAAATATGCTAAACAATACATCCAACTGGACACTCACAGCAATTGCATCTTTAGTGCATGAATCAATGATCACTTGGGTCTTGTTGTGGAAGTCTGTCGCATCAATCCCAAGCTCCTCGGCTTTTTGATTGATCAGCACCTGTCTGTTTTCAATCACCAAAGCATCAATTTGCTCCTGTAATTCATGATGTAAGTCAACTATTCATAAATATAGATATACCTACTGCAAAGTGCATGGGCAATGAATATTCAAATATATACTATCAATATTCATACATTATGCTAACAAAATATTAAAGAAATGGGCAATGAATATTCAAATATATACTATCAATATTCATACATTATGCTAACAAAATATTAAAGAAATATTTTGTATCAATTCTGGGAATATCAATCCTAAAAAAAAAGTTTACTGTCTTAATAGTATATAGCGAGTTTTACAAATTTTAATATGTGTCTTCATGTACCGTCAATAGCATTCAGAGGTGAATTTTTAACAATAGCTGCTGAATGTTTATCTTCATAATTAAACAATTGAAATGAAAAGTGAATAACATTTGTGGCGTGGAAGTTTTTAAAACTGTCTATTTAATACATAAACCACTACTTATGAATCTTCATAATTATAACTTGTTTGAATTTTCCTTAATATCACTCAAAAGGCATCTAACCTGATCCATCTTTTCAAGTAACTTGTTTTGTTAATTGGTTTTGTTACATCTAAAAAGAAGGACTTTTTTATTGCATTCCATAGGTTACAACAATTCATTATACTCGCTTGATTGTTTCCGCCCCAGGGGGCTCACTCTTAAATATTTCTATAAGGTGAGTTGCCACATTCACTGGTATATTTTCAAGGACTTGTTAGCGCAAGTGTGGGAAATATGTAACTGGGGTAAAAATTGGTAGTTAAAGTCCCTGGCCTGTTCTGTGTCAAAGTGCCACGATTTTAAGCACAATGTTAGCGGGAATGTCAAGCTAGACTACAGTAGGTGTTAAGCCGGTAAGCGCCTTGCTAAGTCTACCTTTGTTATTACAGCCATGAGATCGCGACCGGACGGAACACTTTTTGCCATCGGGTACCAGTAAATATTGCGACCTCTCTAGCACTATTGGGTGGCCTTTTTCCTGTCGTCTTTTAGAGCACAGTGCAATTTTCGTAAATGGTAGTTCATAAGTCCATAAGAATTTTCAGTAAAATAGGTAGCGCAAGTGTCTCATGTCTTGAATTGGCTATGGCACCCCCATGTTTGGTTGGTATGCAAGTGAGCTCCCCAATAATTTTGGACCTCGTATGCAAAATTTAATCTACTGTAATCACTTAAATAATGCTCTATTTGTAGATGGAATTTTTGAAAAAAATAGATAAGGAATCTATTCTTTTTACTTTTTATTAAATAATAATAATAATATCTCACCTGCTGTTGAAGCATCAAGTGTTTTTGCTGTTCGTGGAGGTTTGATTGACTTTCACGGATCTCATCTTGGATTTGTTTATCCGATGGTCCAGAAGATTCTGCCTGAACTGCTGACGCTTCAGATTTCTGGATAGCCTGATGCTGTGCCAACGTCTGTTGCAATTGTTGCTGCTGTTGCATTTGTTGGAACTTCTGTTGCTCAGCCTGTTGGTACTTCTGCTGCTCTGCCTGTTGGTACTTCTGCTGCTCTGCCTGTTGGAACTTCTGTTGCTCAGCCTGTTGGTACTTCTGCTGCTCTGCCTGTTGTTGCTGCTGCATCATCTGCTGCTGTTTCTGTTGCTGCTCCTGCATCTGCATATGTTGCTGATGAGACTGCATTTGCATAGGGGGTAAGGGCATTTGTGGTAAGCCCTGCTGCATATGAGGCGGTGGCTGTTGCATGCCTCCCTGCTGTGGATGCGGTGGATGCATTGGACCCGGATGGCGTTGTGACATCATTGGGTGCTGTTGAAACTGTTGGGGTGGATGCTGCTGTTGTTGTTGTTGTTGCTGCTGCTGTTGCCATGGTGCTGTTTGTATAGCATGCTTTGTTATGACATCCTGTAGTATAGCCTGCTGCTGGGCAAGCTTTTGGTTTTGCTGTCTAATAACTATGGAATGAACAAGATATAATGTGAATAAGCCATTTTATACGCCACATGTCTACAGTACATCAAGGTTCAATTTTTATATCTTTCAGATATCACAATGTTTTATCAGACTAGATTAGATAATGTACAGTGTGACTGTTTAAAGTTTTTGATCAAACAAATTTCTTTCTATGTCAGTCAAAAGTCAAGTAAGGCTGTAATACTGTATATCAGAGAAGGTCTGATCAAACAAATTTCTTTTTATGCCAGTTGAAAGTCAAATACTATTGTAACACTGTATATCAGAGAAGGTCTGAACAAACAGTTTGTTGATTCTGACAGAACCCTCCATTAGGATAGAGTAAAGCCTTGTCTAGACTATCAAATTTTATTTGACAAATGCATGTGACATGCCTAAATATGGTCACGATGACATCACATCATGAACATATATAGACACATCATGACTATATATAGGCATACAACAATTTTTTGTCAAATAAAATTTGATAGTCTGGAAAGGCCTTTAGGAATAAATATGATAATAATAAAATGTTGAGAAGAAAAACATCTTAATTCCAACCTAGGCCTGTCAAGTTTTGTGAAAATGATAGATGTGGAAGGCAAAGAATATTATCAAAATTCTGTGTGGAGAGCCACTTCGACTGTTACTTATTTTATAACATTCTGGCAATTCTGCCTTGCATATTTACTTCTGTTTCTGTTTTGGATTTTATATGTAAAGGCAAAATAAATGATACGATATCATAGCTTCTTCATCATGAATACGGTAACGTACTGTAAAAACTTTCAATATGAAAAGAATTAAATAAATCTTCTAACTACACTTACTCTGGGATTCAGTAGATACTTTATACTGATAATAGTTGAAATATTCGCCACCGAATAGGAAATTAAACTTGGGATTATTTGCCTGTTTTTGCTTGGTCATATTTTCAAACTCCGGTCCATTTCTAGCCACAAAATTGGCTAACTTATCAATGATTTTCCTTAATTCAGGATCTTAAGAAAAAAAAATACAAAAGAAAAATATGAATTTGATCAGGTGATGTTTATAAAATAATATACATGCATTTAGTGTGTAGTGTAGGCCTACATCTCTAAATGTTAAGTTATAAGATCTTTTTCAGTTAATGTTATATTAAACATGCATTTTAATCTTCTGTTTGAAAATTCTAGGTGTAAATTTTAAAAGCTTTTTATTTAGGGTGATATTGTGTATTAAAACCTGTATGTATTTTCACCTGTGTTTGACATGGTGTAGGACCATTTCGGGTGCAAAAAAGGCTGTGATATATAGAACACATTTTGCATTTTATGCTTTCTGTCAATTTTATTTAATGAATGACTAAATAAATATCCTAAGAAGACTGATAATCAAATAAGTATGCTTATTGATTTAAAAGTATAAAAAGATGTGGGAAAGGCAAAAAAAAACCATGTAGTTTATATGTCAATTCGACAAGGTAAGCCTATGCCAGGCATATAGTAGCATACAAAATTTGAGAATAATTCTAATGCTAACAAATTTAAAATTCTCACTGGTAACTGAAGCCTATTTTTGTAAAATAGAAATAGTGTATATTCTATTTTAATCAATAAAACAAACAAAACACATTTAATTTTTTGATTTTCTCAGTGTTGTTAAATACATTGCATCAAAACCAGTTTGTCTGAAACATGGCATTCTTTGTCCATCTAGGCCTATACTTTAATCTACATTGAGTGTTGTGCAAATTTATAAATCAAAATTAAGATGTACACATACATAATATTAATAATACGTAGCCTAGTAGTAGGCCTAGGCCTATTTTGTTTGCATGGGACTGGCCCTGGCTGGGTCATTCATACATACAGTACATATACTATATAGACTACATACAGAGCAGAGGATGAGGGTCACCATCATCACCACCAGTCCAGTTTCTCTAGCAATTACGGGATAGGATAGGCCACGAGTTAGGCGCCCTGTGCTGTGTATCAAAGCCATCAATGATCAAGCATCAGGCTGTATTGGCAGGCTCGGTCTGGAGAGCCTGCCACCTCGGTCTGGCTAGGCTAGGGCAACCGCCAAGGCCTAGGCCAGAAGAGACCGTACCTACCAGCCGCCACCACCACCACGACACAACGAGCTTGGTTATGCGCTGACTGCCTAGCTAGCAGTATCTAATTTTAAATTAAGGAATTACACAACGATCCTATACAATCATACCTTCTGGTGAATTCGGAAGATCCGACATTATTCCCGTATTCTTCAAACGAATTTATCAAACAGTGACAATTATAATCCTATCACTTAGTTCTGAGATTTGTCAAGATCCTAGGCCTAGCATCTAGACACCTTGCCTCCTCGTCGAATCACCAACAAACGAACACAACCGACCAGCTCACACTTAATCGATATCGCGTCAACTCTCTCAACCAGACGCGTTCAAACCTTATATAACACTATAATTGTGTTATGTTTATGTACTTGCAGCAGAGAATCTTAACTTGTTTATTTTTTTTTCAATTTGAAGGCCACCGATCTAAAGGTGTAATGTTCCAATAAATATTAGAATTTATAATTACTAATGGTTTAAACCAGTTTAAACGTAGTGCAGTTACTCATCTGATAACCAAAAATAGCAGTCTGCCGCCCTCTAAAGTTCTTTTGTGAAAATGGCTAGGGCAGTAAGAATTTCTATGTACAGTATGTGATGATAT